AAAGATGAGGAAATTGAAGATTTTTATCAACTTCTACAGTCTGAAATTGACCAAACATGCAATCAAGTTGTGTTAATTATCACTGGTGATTGGAATGCAAAAGTTGGAAACAAAGAAAAATCACTGGTAGTTGGAATATTTGGCCTTGGTGTCAGGAATAACACTGGAGATCACATGATAGAATTTTGCAAGACCAATGACTTATTCATTGCATTAACCCTTTTTCATCAACACAAATTGTGGCCATATACATGAACTTCACCAGATGGAGTACACAGGAATCAGATTGACTACATCTGTGGCAAGAGGTGATGGAAAAGCTCAATATCTTCAGCCAAAACAAGACCAGGAGCTGATTGTGGAACACATCATCACTGCTCATATGCCAGTTCAAGTTGAAGTTGAAGACAATTAAAACAAGTCCATGAGAGCTAAAATATGACCTTGAATATATCTCTCCTGTATTTAGAGACTATCTAAAAAATAGTTTTGATGCATTGAACATCAATAACCGAAAACCAGAAAAATTATGGATGACATCAAGAACATCATCCATGAAGAAAGCAAGAGTTCATTAAAAAGACAAGAAAGGAAGAAAAGACCAAAATGGATGTCAGAAGAGACTCTGAAACTTGCCCTTGAGTGGAGAGTAGCTAAAGCAGATGGATGAAATGACAAGATAAAAGAGCTGAACAGATTTCAAAGAGCAGCTCGAACAGACGAAGTCAATTACCAAAATGAAATGTGCAAAGGCGTGGAGTTAGAAGACCCAAAGAGGAGAACACACTCAGCATTTCTCAAGCTGAAAGAACTGAGGAAAAAATTTAAGCCTCGAGTTGCAATATTGAAAGATTTATGGGCAAAATATTGAATGATGCAGAAAGCACCAAAACAAGATGGAAGGAATACACAGAGTCACTGTACCAATAAGAACTTGTCAATCTTCATCCATTTCAGGTGGTGGCATATGATCAAGAACCAATGGTACTGAAGGAAGAAATCGAAGCTGCACTGAAGGAAGTGGCAGAGCACAAGGCTCCAGGGATTGATGGAACACCCACTGAGATGTTTCAACAAATGGATCCCCTGCTGGAGGTACTCACTCAGCTATGCCAAGAGATTTGGAAGACAGCTATCTGGTCAACTGACTGGAAAAGATCCATATTTGTACCCATTCCAAAGAAAGGTGATCCCACAGAATGCGAAAATTATTGAACAATATCGTTAATATTGCATGCAAGTAAAATCTTACTGAAGATAATTCAAAAATGGTCGGAGCAGTATATTGACAGAGAACTTCCAGAAATGCAAGCTGGATTCAGAAGAGGAAGTGGAATGAGGGATATCATAGCTGATGTCAGATGGATCTTGGCTCAAAACAAAGAATACCAGAAAGATGTTTACTTGTGTTTTATTGACTATGCAAAAGCATTTGATCGTGTGGATCATAACAAATTATGGGTAACATTGAGAAGAATGGGAATTTCAGAACACTTAATTGTACTCTTGAGTACATAGACCAGGAGGCTGTTGTTTGAACAGAACAAGGGGACACTGCATGGTTTAAAATCAAGAAGGGAGTGTAGTGTGTCAGGGTTGTATCCTTTTACCATACTTGTTCAATCTGTATCCTGGGCAAATAATCTGAGAGGCTGGACTATATGAAGAACAATGTGGCATCACGATTAGAGGAAGAGTCATTAACAACCTGCAATATGCTGACAACACAACTTTGCTTGCTGAAAGTGAGGATGACTAGAAGCACTTACTGATGAAGATTGAAGAACACAGTTTGCAGTATGGATTACTCTCAGGAGCTCTGGTGGCATAGTGCCTAAGGCACTTGACTGCTAACCAGAATTCTGGCGGTTCAAACCCAATAAACACTCCTCAGAAGGAAGATTGAGCAATCTACTTCCGTAGTGATACCGCCTCAGACCCAAGGAGGCCATTACATCTCTATATAAATGCAAATACAATGCAACACACTGTCATGGAGTCAGATCTGACTCATAGGACCTCTCCTTGGGTTTCCCAGGTGGTATCACTATCCGACCTCCTTTCCCAGGAGTGGCTGGTGGGCTTGAATTGCCAGATTTCTTGTTAGCAGTCAAATGCCTTAGGCACTACGCCACCAGAGCTACCATTTCAATATAAAGAAAACAAAAATCCTCAACTGGATCTATAAGCAGCATCACAATAAATGGAGAAAAGATTGAAGTTGTCAAAGACTTCACATTGCTGGGTTCTACAATCAACACCAATGGAAGCAGCAGCCAGGACATCAGAAGACGTGTAGCACTAGGCAAATCAGCTGCAAAGGATCTCTTTCAAGTGCTGAAGAGCCAAGATGTCTCCTTGCAGACTAAGGTGTGCTTGACACACACAAAAAAACAAGTGAACTGCCCTTGAGTCAGATCAGAGTTGTAGTGACCCCTCCTTGAGTTTCCGAGGCAGTATCACTACGGAAATAGATTGCCTGACCTTCCTTCTGAGGAGTGGCTGGTGGGTTTGAACTGTCGGCCTTCTGGTTACATCAAATGTCTTAGGCTCTGTGCCACCAAAGCTCCTCACATCTTACACAAGCCATGGTATTTTCAATCACCTCATATGCATGTGAGAGCTGGACAATGAGTAAGGAAGACTGAGGAAAAGTTGATCCTTTTGAGTTGGGGTGCTGTCAAAGAGTGCTAAAAGTGCCATAGACTGCTAAAAGATCTAACAAATCTATCCTGGAGGAGGTGCAGCTGGAATGCTCATTGGAAGTGAGGATGGCCAGACTTCGTCTCACTTACTTTGGTCATGTTGTCAGAATGGACCATCCCCTAGAGAAGGAGGTCATGCTTGGTAAGGTGGAGGGTCAATGAAAGAGGGGAAGGCCCTCAAGGAGATGGATAGACATAGTGGCTGCAGCGATGAGCTCAAGTGTAGCAGGGATCATGGACCTGGCATGGCACCGGGCAGTGTTTCATTCTGCTGTGCACAGGATTGCTATGAGTCGGACAGAGGCAACCTAAGGGTGCCTAACAACAACAATAGGGTTGCTATGAGTTGGAATCGACTTAATGACAATGGGTTTTATATGCTAGTCTAAGACGTTGGTGGTTCAGTAGTAGAATTCTTTCACCCTCCAAATAGGAGTCTTGGGTTTGATTTCCAGCCACTGAACCTCATGTGCAGTCACCATCAGTGGAGGCTTGCAAGTTGCTGTGATGCTGGACAGGATTCAGTGGAGCTTCCAGACTAAGATGGACTATGAACAAAGGCCTGACAATCTACTTCTGAAAATCAGCCAGGGAAATGCTATAGACCACAGTAGTCTCATCTGCTATAGATTATGGGGATGGCACAGATCTAGGCAGCTTATTGTTCCATCAGGCATGGTGTCAGCATGAATAAGGGGTTGACGTGACACGGCTAATAGCAACAACGTGTGACAGTGCTGACTGAGGCTACTGAAAGAACAGGACAGGCAGTGACAATAGGGAAGAAAGGAGTTCCTCAGAGGAAAATGTGCTTAACTTGCTTTACTGGCTTCTGGATAGTTAAGACCCTTCTGTGAAGACATTGCTTTTAAAAGGGTAGGCACGCTTTGCTGTGTCTCATATCCTGCTGACTGAGCAGGAGTTCCTGGCATAACACACGGAACCTCAATGGCTGAGCTGTGGGGGCAGAAGTGGGTAATCAGATGGGCAGTAGCTGAAATGACCTCACTGTGCCCCCAGATTGCAGTTGCTGTGTCTTTCCTCTACACACATATCCACCATATTGCCCATCTGTAAACATGGCACCCTAGTAAAACAGATGTCCGCAAGGCAACAGGATCAAGCAAGGTTAAAGACAGCTCTGGGGGAGGAGGGGTTAAAAATGTCAACTCAGGATTGGGCTGCCTGGGTTTGAATCTCAACTCCGTGACCACAGGACCTGGAGTAAGTAACCTAAGCTTTGAGCCTTGTTTTTTCATCTGTAAAGTGATGACATGGTACTGTTGCATAGGGATGTTGCAAGGGTTCAGTAAGATAATTCTGAAGTGCTTAGAAGAGTGCTACGTGTGTAGTCACACATGTATCACAGAAGTTACCTTTTATCATGATTATTCTGGGAAAATAAAACCAGGCCTAGAAGTTCAGCTTATAGAATAACTGGATTTTATAGTGCCTTTGATTTTGAAAGAAAGAATTTTAAATTTAGATCGTGTGTTCTTTGGGATTTGTCTGCAGTAGATTCAGTATCCGAAGTAGTAAGCGAAGTGTTATTGTTTGAGTACATACAGTTTCCATTCTGGAACCAAATAATTCTTTAAGAAAACCACCACCTCTCCCCAGGGAAATAAGAAAGAAATTATTGTTTGAGTCTATTTGGATTCCATATCATGTATCTCTTTAGGGGATTTCAGAAAAGAAAAATGGGAAACAGGCAGGTACCTGGCTTGTTTTGCCATTAATGTTCAGACTTCTTGGATTTAACAATCCTGTGGGATATAATCAGTGCTACTGGATTATACTAAAATGTAGTTTCAATTTATTGCCTTCTTTTTTTATAATATTTTCTTTTGTTTTTCAAATAAGCTTTTGTTCCCCCCTAAATGTGAAAGCACAGATTTCAGTATTACTATTTATTCCCTTTACTCACCTTATTTGTATTCTTCCTTTCAGGCATACCTTGTTTTAAGCAAGTCTAGTAACTGAAAAATCCATATTTATATTACAAATGAATTAGCATTGAGGACTTGTTCCCTTTAGAATGTATTTTGCTCAAATGCTGACTTCTGTTTCAGTGCATTTAAAATTGTTTCACTTAAAAAACAAAACAGCCTAAAATAAAAAGCTGTAATATTCCAGTAGGGTGCCAATAAGACTGTGCCCTGGGAGGGAAACAGCCTCAGGGAAGAAGAGGGGGGGGTGGCCTCTGAGTCATCTCTTTGAGCAAAATAGCTGGGATTTGAAAAAGGTGGGGAAGGCAAGCTTGGTGGTGGCTAAGATGTGCCATTCCTTTGGCAGGGTTTGACACCAGCATCCTGCCTATCTGCAAGGACTCCCTTGGCTGGATGTTCAACAAGCTGGACATGAACTATGACCTCCTGCTTGACCACTCTGAGATCAATGCCATCTACTTGGATAAGTACGAGCCCTGCATCAAGCCCCTCTTCAACTCCTGTGACTCATTCAAGGATGGCAAGCTTTCTAACAATGAATGGTGCTACTGCTTCCAGAAGCCTGGGGGTAAGGCAGATGTGCATGCCTTCAGAGCCTAGGGTAGCCATGTTGGGGTAGGGAAGAACCACATATCACACATCGGGGAAGTAGATAGGGATTAGTGGACAGAAAGATACATTTGGAGAATAAGGAATTCATGCCATTTAATGGTAAACCCAAAAGGTCATTCCTCCTATTGTGAGATTCTCAATGTGAAAACTACTGTCCAAATATGACAGCCTAATAATTACCATTATCACATTAATTCTCCATGTTCTCTTTAGGGCAAGCTACTTGTCAGCTTCTCTACAGTAAGTATGGATTTATTCTGAATATCTTAGACAAATATATTTTAGTTTTAAATAACAGGTAGCTTAAGAAATAAAGAGGAAAGATTTGGGCAATAAATGGAAAAGATACAGAGCTACCTCCCGCAACCCAAGTCAGAGAGGAGAAGCAGTCTGCAGGAGGAATGCAAACTAGGAACTGGAAGATTCACAGGGCCGAGAGTCTAGTGTTCAGTTCTCCCTGTGGGGTGGCATGGTCTACTTCTACTTCCTTCTGCCCCCACTTCCCAGGTGTGTGCCCAAGTGCTCTGGTCCACATTTCACAGGACCAACAGTGATTGGCTTGTATCTAAATCTAATCCCAAACACCAGAACAATCTAGTCCAGCCAGGATCAGTTATCAAGGTTAACATACCGCAAACATGGCTGGCAGAAACCACCCACAGGAAAAAAGAATGGCTAGTCATATTAGAGCATTTAATGTATGTACGTATATGCATGCATGCATGCATGTATGTACAAATAAAACATGTATGCAGGGAAATTTTTAGGCATTTCAAAGGGACATTCAGTGAAAAGTAAGTGTATGTGTAAAAATTTACAGGATTATAAGATATATTCCTAGAAGCAGAATTACTGGCCAAAAGAGCATGGGCATTTTAAAATATGAGCAATTTTACCAATTTGCATTTCAAAGAGGTTTTGCCATTTACCAATTTATACTCTCACCAAAAATATATAGCTACCTACTTCTCCATGGCACTGCCAAACGTGATCATTGCCAAAAGGGGCAAAGGGTCACTCTGTCCTTATAGGGTCACTATGAGTTAGATTTGTTTGTTTGTTTGTTAGTTTAGATGCTTCATTTCACTTTTCTTATGATTTACCTTGAACATTTTTATATATGTTCGAGACACTCTTGACTCTCCTTTTCCTTGAAATATCTCTATGTTCTCTGTACACACTCTTTCTATTAAGCTCTTGGTTTTTGGGGGAGTTTTATTTAAGAACTTTCTCTATTTTAAGGACTTTAAAATTTTCCAGTCAAAAGTGTTTCAAATCTTTTTTTCCCAACTTGGATTTTGTCTTTGCAATTTTGCTAAAGAGATATTTTAAATTTTAAGATAGTCATATTTCTCAATCTTTTACTATGTGGCTTCTTAGAAGCTATGAAACTTACATTAAGCTTTGAAAGGATTTCCCACTTTACTACAGTAAAGTAATTCTTTTATTATTTTTAGTACCTTTGTTTGTTTAAATCTTGTTTCACTCTGGATTTTATTTTGGTGTATGATTGAGTTTCTGCCCCTAACCCCCAGCTGGTTTCCAGCTGCCCTCCATCATTTACTGATTAACCTGTCTTTCTCCACCTTCTATGTGTGCTTATAAGGAGCTCTGGTGACATAGTGGTTCAAGCATTTGGTTGCTAACCAAAAGCTTGGTGATTTGAACCCACCAGGAGTTCCATTGGAGAAAGGTGAGGCAGTCTAGTTCCATCAAGACTTATAGCCTTGGAAAACTTCTAGGGGTCGCTGTGAGTCAGAATTGATGGCAGTGCATTTTGGTTTGTTTTTTTGTACATGCTTATAAATGAGCTCTGGTGGCATAGTGGTTAAAGCATTCAGCTGCTAACCAAAAGGTCAATGATTCAAATCCACCAGCTGCTCTGCAGGAGAAAGATGAGGCAGTCTAGTTCCATAAAGATTTACAGCCTTAGAAAGCCAATGGGGCAGTTCCACTCTGTCCTACAGGATCACTATGAGTAATCCCAGATCTTTTTTCCTGCTTATACAACTATTCACAAACAAGTTCTAAACTATTCAAATCACCATTGTTTTACAATATGTTTTAGTATCTACTGGAGCTATTTACCACCTCCTTCCATTACTCTTCTTTTAAGAGAATTTTCATGGATGTTCTTCTATGTTTCTTTTCCCTTTGCAATTTTAGAATCTGTTTATCTGATTAAAAAAAAAACAAAACTCAACTTGTACTTCATTAGAATCAGGCAAGAATAGCTTAATTCAGGGAAAATTGATAGCTGTGTAGTAGTGAATCTTTTTATCCTAGAATAGGACTAGAAGTATATCAATTAGTTATACTTTAAAGTTTTGTTCTCACAGATATTGTACTTTCCTTGTGTTTATTTTTGTTGCTGTTGTAAATGAGATAGGTTTTTCCCATTACTTTTCCTCACTGGTGGTTTTTACATTATTAATTTTGTACCCAACCACCTTAGTAAATTCTTATCTTGATTGTAATAGTTATTCTGGTTGATTTGCTTGGATTTTTCAGGTGTGCAATCATATCATATGCAAATAGTGATCATTTTTTCTCATCCTTTTTGATTTTTATACCTCATTTCTCTTTTCTAATTATATCAGCTACTACATCCAAATCAATGTTAAATAATAGCCACATATTTTATTTTACTAGAAATGCTTATAGTGATTGAGCATTGAGTATAACTATAGTTTTAGGCTTGAGATCTATGATCTTAGCCTGAGTTCCCTAAAGCTTAAATGAGGCAAATCCTAGTGCTAATACTTCCCCTAAGAAGCCCTGGTAGCACAACAATTAAGGGCTTGACTTCTAATCTAAAGGTTGGTGGTTCAGACCTATCCAGCAGCTCCCTGGGAGAAAGACCTAGCAATCTGCTTTTGTAAAGATTATAGCATAGGAAGCCCTATGGGGCACCTTTACTCTGTCACATGGGTCACTATGAGTCAGAATCTACTCAGTGGTACCCAACAACAACAGCAATGCTCCCCCTAGGGTGCAGTGCCAGAATTCTGAGCCAGAACTGGTGGCCTGGCCCATGGGATGTCTCTTTATAGACTTCCCTTGCAGCATCTGCTGGAGAAGGCAGGACCCCCACCTGTAGCATGGGCAGGCCCCTGGGATGAGTTGAGTAAATAATTTGTAGTGTTTGTTTTCTCCTTTTTGTTGTTGTTGGTTTGTTTTTTTTTAAAGAAGTAAGTTAGATCCTTTGTTTTTTTTTGTTAGATTCCCACCACATCCCTCCAAAACTCAGAACCACTTCTGGGATTTCTATTTCACATCCACATTTCTATAAATCATTGTATTGGTATTATATCTAAAACTTTGAGGTGAGTGATTACATCATGCTTATTATTTCCTACTTATTAATGTATTTCAGGCTGAGATTTTCTCTAAAGCTTTCCATTAGCTGCAGGCCATTAAATATTGATATCTGGTATTCTCTGGTGGCATGGTGCCTAAGGCATTTGACTACAAACAGAAGGCTGGTGATTCAAACCCACCAGCCACTCCTCGGAAGGAAGACTGGGCAATGTACTTCCGTAGTGATACCGCCTCAGAAACCCAAGGAGGGGTCACTATGAGTTGGATCTGACTCAACAGCAGTGAGTTTGGTTTTTTGGGTTTTTTTAAGCATTATTTTCATAGCACTGGATGAAACTATAGAAAAATGTAAAACCATTCCAATATTTTTGTTTCTGTTTTTCCTTTATTGGTGATATAATCATTTCACCTGGAAAACAAAGAATTCTTTCTTGGTTTTCAAAGACATTAACTTCCTAGTCTCAGTTTTGTGCTGTCTGTATCACTTTTGTTCCTGAGGCATGTTATACTATTTCAAGCTTTAGAATTAAGTTTTTTGTTTTTTAGTTATAATTTTCAGGAAATTTTTCTTAAATTATCTGTGTCTTTAAAACTTTTTTCTTCCATTTGATTGGTCTCTTCTGAGGAACATGAATAAAATGCATGTTTCATAAAACTTGTATAGCTTTGAGTACAGCCTTTATTTCTTCAATTGTTCATTTTCCCCTTTCTGTATTATTTTTATCCTTAAGTTTTTATATCTCTGCCTTGATCTCTAGTCTTACAGAGTCCATTTTTCATTATATTCTTGGATTTCTTAGGGAAATCTTTGGTTAATTATTTTCATCTGTTTAGCAGGAAAAATTTTGATATTGATTCTTTATCTGGAGGTCTGTGTTACTTTCTCTTCTGTTTTTCTTACAGCATTTTGAGTAGATTACTATCTGATTCATCTTCTTTATCTTTCAATAACTAGAGTATTTTTAATTGTTATAGAACAGTTTTAGAGAAGGGTCAGTACTTACAACTAGCAGGAAGTCAACTTGCCTCATAGTAAAACTGTCTGATAACAGAGGATGCATAAATGCTTTAGATTTTCCTTCTTTTCCAGAGCAAATAATCTTGTAAATGCCTATAATTTATATCTTTCCGTAGTTACAAAGACACGGTTTTCATTTGAAAAATAGGTATAATATTGGTACCTATTTATATGATTGTTGTGAAAATTAAAATTAAGACATAAAGTTCTAGAACATTGCATGGCACTTCTAAGAAATCAATAAATGTTAATTATCATAATAAATGCTACCTTTAATCTTCCAAGATAGAGTTTGTTCCTCCATTTCTTTGTCATTTTCCGCTGGTATATTTCTCTTTTACTCTGAAAGCATCTTAAAATCAGAAATTAACAAAATGTATTTCACAGCCAGTCTCTCTCAGGAAATAAGCAGCAAAACCAGAAGGCTCTGTGAAATCCACAGGGAAATAGGTGGAAATAGATGCTTAGATGGTTTAGGTGCCAGTATGGTGTGGGGCAAGTATGGTAGAAAGAGACAGCATGAACTGGAGCTAAGAGTACTGCGAATCAGAACTTTTTTGCCATATCTGGAGGACAGTGAGCAAATGACAGAACCTTCTGGTACCACAAGACCTGCA